GCCTCCGCCTCCGCGCGCAGCGCCGGGACGCGGTCGGGCGGCGCGACGAGCTCGACGAGCGCGCCGCCGTCCGGGTCGATGAGCGAGCTGCGGACCGACATGGCGCCGCGCCGCCCGTGACGCTGGGAGAGGGAAGGGGAGCGCGAGTCCGGGGCGGCGAGGCGGAGGCGGCGGGAGAGGAGGTGCGGGTGCGCGAGCGAGGCGGTGGCGCGGATGCGAGCCGCGGAGGAGGCGGAGGCGGAGGGGTGGTGGAGGCGGGGTGGAGTGAGTTGGTGGGTGGTGGCCATGGATGCGCGCGAGGTGTTCGACCGCGCGGTGCGTTTGGGTGCGGGCGGGCGGTGCAGGTCGCTACGGTCACCAGGCGAGGCCGAGGCGGATGACAAAACCCAGGTCGCTGATTTGTCACATGGGATGGCAGTAGTATGGGTTTACTCTTCTTTGACCAAATCTTTGGAAAATTCATTGAAAATGACTGGACGATTATAAAGGGTCCATTTCATGTATTCCCTTAGTTTTTAAAAGAATATATGGAGTAAAAATAAGCTTCTTTTTCCAGTAAAATATGGCGAAACTACACACTTTAAATAGTTTATTACTCTGTGTAGCAAAACGTGTGAAAAAACAATTTGTTGAAAATGATTTCATTTTAAAATAGGAAGGACCTTCTCATAACTACATTTTACTTCCTAATAACCACATTTTATTTCCTAATTTCACAAAATCACTCTCCATTTACAACTTCAGCAAGACCACATATTTATTGGATAATAAAAAGACCCAATTCGACATGGTGTATCCTTGCAAAAGTGTGAGTATGACATGTGGGCCTAATCTTCTTGAATAGAAATTTAGCCAAATAGAATAAAAAGTGTCATCCTATCACAAATGTAGTGAATTAATAATTAATGAAATAATAGTTTTTGTGATTGTTCAGTTAATACAAATGTAGTCGTTTTACAATATTACTTTATTCTCATGTTTAATTTGTTTATTTCTTTTTCTTATTTGAATGTCATGTCACTATCTAATAAAATCAAATGCATTATCAGCCACAAAATAAGTGACATACATTGCAATTGAGACGCGATCTCTATATTACAACTTTAATACCTAGTTTTGTTATGATATACTCCATCCATTCTAAATCATAAGATGTTTTGACTTTTTTAGATAAATAGATTTTGCTATGCATCTACATATATATTATGTCTAGAATCTACTCCCTTTGTCCCATTTTAATATTCGTTCTAGCACTGCAGTAAAGTGTCTACATTCACTGCCTCCTCCATGCATATGGACACACACAACGTCCTAGTCCAAAAAATCTTCGCTGCACCAGGTTTTTGAAAGCTAAAACGACTATTAAAACGGGGCAGAGGGAGTAAATACCTAGTAAAAACTACTCCATCTGTCCTGGAATACAGTGCATTCTAGGGATTTTAAGACAAATTAAGAGAGAACATAAAAGACGCATGTACCATCATTTTATTTCCTAATCAGACGCTATCATCAACGTGATTAATGTTGATTATTTAATAAATAGAAATATTTAATGTAAAATTGGTTTTTATCCTCTAGAATGCATTATATTTGAAGACAAATTTTAAATGCTAGAATGCACTATATTACAGGACGGAGGGAGTAAATATCTAGTAAAAGACAAAATGACTTACTATTTAGAAAATGGAGGGAGTATTATTTTTATGCACAGCACAAAGAGAAAATTTATATACATTAACGAGACTGCTTTTGAATGTCAGGTTGGATAACAAAACATAATATATTATACAAAATCACTTATTTGTGAGTGGAAGGCCAGCCCTGTTCGGCTTACCCCATATTCGACTTGTTCGGCTTCTTTTTTCAGCGGGAACAGTGATTCTCTCTCACAATAATTCAGCTGCAACAGTGTTTTCAGGCAGTTTCAGCCAAATTTCAGACCAGCGAACGGGGTTATTTACAAACAAAATAGTAACATAGCCGTCATCTAGTCAATCAAATGTGCCCTTGACCACTCGTACACTTGTACCTTCAGTGCGTTTTTCCTTGCTTTGATGGATGCATTGACATTTGGTACTGCCAACATGGAAGTGATCATGGTGAAGTTTTCAAAAAGAATGCAATAGATCCAGTCAAACTACTTTAGGTTGGATTAAATTTATAAAAAATACTATCGACAGGTATTACTATGGAAAAAAGAGAATGTATATATCACGACAAATGTAACGATACTTATTTAGTATAATATAAATTTTAATATCTTTTTAAATATAAATTTGGTTAGAATTTATATATTTTAACCTAAGTACCTAACATGCATGATTTAGAAGTGTCTTTTTGGGACCGAGGGGATATATTTGGGAAGAAACATATCATATGGATACTAGTGCTTATATGTACGGGGATATTGACACATGTAATAATAAGAAAATAAAAGGAAGTGCTGATTTCAATGTATTTTTTTATAAAAAAAAATAAAGGTCCTTCGAATCACGGAATCAGCATAAAACTGTGCTCCCTCCCGTCGACGGTGGATGTCGCGACGCGCGCGCACCCAAGGCGGCGAAAAAGCGATTGGATTCCCATCGCATGGCCGTGAGCCCCGCGACGCTCGTGTCCACAGACCACAAAGACCTGGCGCGGCGAAAAGGAAAAGAGGGGCGGCACCCGGCCGTGTCTTTCTCCGCGCCGAGCGCGATCGAGCGGCGCGGCTAGATTCTCCACTCCACTTCACGTACACGTCGCTTTCGGCCTTTGCATGGGAGCCTCTCTCTGTGATTCGTTCTGTGGTGCCGGTGCCGGTGCCGTCGTGCTGACGGTTACTGTACTACCTACCCCATGCATCTAAGAGGGAGCTAGAGCAAAAGCGAGGGAGGGTGCGTTTGTCTTATGGGTGTCTATTATTTTACCGTATGGATATCAATATGATGAAAATTTGATCATAATTATTGGTTTCTGATATTTTTTTGGGGTGCACCTGCATCTAGTACAGTGTATATAGATCCGTCCATGCGGCACAAGGACTAAGGCAGTGATTATGAGACACGCCCTATATACACTGTGATTATGAGACGTGGCAGGCAAATGCCTTTTGCTTGTTACTATTCTCTTTGTTTTGGCACCTACTAGGCGTGGCGGCCAACACGAATACACCTGTGAGTGAGCAGAGAGCACCGCGCGAAAATATATAACGACTCTTTGGTAAAGTTGTTTTTTTTAACTCGTTCCATAATTTCCTGCTATACACATTTCTTGATTTCCCAGCCAAAATCCGGCGATCTGTTATAGTTTGATCGGTGCTACAACTGGTACGGTGTTGCAAGCCACCAGTTCGTCTGGCCAGCTTAGATTAAGCGACCTGGCCATGTTGGCAGCCAGACATTTGTTCTCGCACTTCATCCTCAAACCAAACCGGTCACAAAGCTTTGTATCCTATACTAGTTGTGGAACGAAAAAAGTCCTTATTACCTCCATTTCGTGAAAGTCCGTTTTTTCTCCCAAACTTCAAAACTGGGAAAAACACCTTCCTTAACTTTTAAAACCGTTCATCTTACCTCCCTGGCTGACTGTTATAAGCGGTTTTGAAGATGGTTTTCTTTTTCTTTTTTTATTTATTTCGGCTGAATCTTTGAAAAATCATAGTAAATCACAGAAAAATCATAAAATAAAAAATCCAATTTTGTTGGACTCCACATGAGTAGATCTACACAGTGAATATATAATATGGTATGCTTTAGTACAAATTTTTTGATGTATCTTTAGATCTATGATTTTCTGTAATTAAATGGAATAATTCATAACTGCAGTTTCTATGGTCTAATTATAGTGAAATTTTTATGGTGGACTAATTATTGTATGCTTAAACTATAGTAAAAATTTAATACTCATTAGATCATGTATAACTTAGTTATAGATTTTATTTAGGTTTATGCTTATTAAATATAAATAAATCTATATGATGAAATTGGTTCATTGGCCAACGAACCAGCAGGCAATTTGGAAGCTACGGATACTGTATGATGAAATTGGCCAACGAACCAGCAGGCAATTTGGAAGCTACGGATACTGTATGATGAAATTGGTGATGATAAGTTGCCAAAAAAGAAAGAAAATATGGTGCCATATGTGATCTGAAAGGACCTATCGAATTTGAGATAAATAGTATGCTGTTCAATATACAGGAACAAGCAAAAGAAAAGAGGCATATAGATACAACATAGCTTCAAACAGAATCACAGTTTTAAGCTCGAACATAGCACAACTTGAGATGACCAGGGCCATATGGCATCAATGCCGGCTGATAATAGTGTCCTGTGAGAGAGAATAAGCTAAAACAAGCTGAAATAAGCTGAAACTAGATCAGCTGAACGTGCTGAAAATGTACCAAAGACAGAACAGGAGCAAAGTTTGGATCCACAGTAGAAATAGAAAGAAATAAAAACAGCTTCTATGACAAGTTTAGCAAGGCACCAAACGAGACCGTACATCCAATGCATTCAGAAACAACAACAACAACAACAATGCATTCAGAAACGAGACTAGAAATCATGTAAAACAATTGTATAACCTCTATAGATCTGTTATTGGTAATTGGCTGGTGATAGTCAGGATGTACAATATTACTGCTCTTCAGATAAAAGAAGACCAGATAACATAACATACACTGACGGCCTTCTTTCAGACTGTGCTGCCCTCTAACTTGCTATACACAGTCCGTTCAAAGAAATGCGAAGGCCAATGGTAAGTTTAAGCTGAGACCTACCGCACTTGCTGATTCTATCTGAACTGTCAATGAAACAGAGTAACAACTACAATTATGCTGCCAATGTACAAGATTTACTGCCTACCATATATCCTTTTGCTTTGTTGGTTAACGGGGGCCAGAGCATGGAGATTAAAGGTATCCTACTGATCCAGCCCCAATGCAATTGTGCAGTGCAGACTCATTCTATTTTGTCTAAGGGACATGTTAGAGCCCCCTAAGTCTGAGGATCCGTCCACTATGTGCCCCATGCATCTGTCATACTAGCATCAACGCCAGAAGCGAGCCAGTAATCAGCATCAGCCTGCAAAAGCAAGAACTGTAAGCATCATGTTAACAAGGCTGCCATGATGTCTGATGTGGAGTAGGATTCCTTACATCGGAATCTGATGGAACGATTCTCAGAATGCCATTTTCTTGCTTTCTGGATGGTTCTGTTGTATGCATGCAGCCACCATTGCTCCATTCCTTTTCCGGTGCCTGATTTGGATCACAATCCATCTGCTGCAAAGCTTGAGAACTATCAGTACCAACTGCAGGTTCTAATCTGTCTGCTGCCACCAGCTGGTCTGGGTTAAATATCTCCTGACGGTCACTGGTGGGGAAACATAAAAATTGGCTACAAATTAGCATTTTCAAGACAGAGAACACAGGACAGAATTCTACAATTAAAACATTTATCGTAGCTTACCTTATCAAATAGCAATCAATAGGACCCATTGAATTTCTCAGGACAATTTTGTAGTGCTTCTCTTGCAAACCCAGATTCCCATACATGTACTGATCCTGGTAACAAAATAATAAGTGTTAGAATCACAAAGACCTTTTTTCACTTACAAGTCTACTACTATGTAGCTAATGGTATATCAGGATTGTGTACCGCATTAGGGTCTGGAACTTCAACACAAGTTCCGTGAGGAGCATTTATAGCGATAACAGTGGATCCCTGCAGTAAATGGGAATCTTGTTGACCATAGTTTGCAAGAAAGAAAAGTCTGTTTTGACAAGTTCTAACCTGAAAGTGAGGAATCTTATTTATATCTTCCTTCAAAAGATATAACAACCTAATCAGACAGATTGAAGGACTCAGCTGACTATACATCCATAAAATTATTGCAGATACAAGAGATTAGAATTTTACTTTCTTTTATCCTCGTCTAGGGTGAGGGCTTGTATTTTGTCTTTTGCTTCCCTGCACACCAGCAATTGCTAATCAAAAGGCAGGGAGGAGGTAAAAAAGAAGGGAGCAGGAGGCATCTCATTTTCTTGTTACTCTCATGGAAAGAACTTACCTTATTTCGTCATCCAACCTGAACTCTTCATCATAAAGAGATTCAAGTTCTTCCTGCAGATAATCAAAACACACCAAGTTGTTATAACCATATGATTAGATGGAAATCTACAGAAAACTGCAGGCCAAAATGCTATTGTTCAAATGTAGTGTCGTGTTTTTATGAACCGTATTCATTAGAATTAGAGGATAACCATTGCTAGGAAGATAGCCAGGCAAAGTCAGCTTGGAGGGAGACTAGAGTATTGGGGGATTTGGAATTAATTCTTTTTCATTGCGTGATTTGTTTGATACACTGCCACCCTTTATATATAGAGAGAGGATTGCTAGACTCATAAGTAAGATCCAACCTAACCCTAACAAATCATATCTATCTAGAATATAATAATCCTCAACAGACCATCCTAATTCCCTTGCGCCTGATACTCCTTGGCTTGCATGACTATGTAGCTGGCTTGCTACCTCGGGCGTGCCACTGGCCCACGTCCCATAACACGTGTAAACAGTCAGAAGATGGGTATACTAATATTTCATGGCAATGGAAATACCAAAATGCTGCACATGAGAATACCCTCAAAAGAGGAAATTATGTCTACAGATGTGATGGGCTGATGGCTTCTTTCTTTACAGGCATAAGCATGTAGGTTGCATCAACCAAAACGTTCCTACACATTATACATGACTCAAACACTTTCCTTATTCACTTGCACTGCATGCTACTCAGGACATTGAGATGAGGCCACATTTATCATTTGATCTGTCCTGTATACATGACCAAATGAATACCAGAAAGTGGCCAGCATGGCGAGTTCCAAACTCCAAAGCACGTTAGGTATAATTGTACTGAAGAAGTATTGATGAGTGACTTCAATTTCAAAAATTCTGTAACTATTGACCTTAAATGATACAGTTAAAAATGCACGATGTTAGTTAAGCCACGACATAAATGTCCGAACTTAGTATTCTGTATCTTAACTGGACTAAGAATCAAGAAAGGGTACTAAAAAGTTGTTCTGCTAGCTTAACAGCACTAAGAAAGGGGAGGTTGTTCATGGTCTGATGTCTGTTTTCTAAATTTTAGATTTGTGAACAAAATAGAGACAAAAGATGAGGGTCACAATTTTCCACAAATAGTTAAAACTAGTGTTAAGATTAAAAATAATCAAGCAAAAACAAATTTATTTCTCAAATACGTAAGAGACTTGCACATCAATATTACAGGTAGAAGGAACCGGTCAACATACAAAGACCAAAAGGCCTAGAAATGAAAAGTAGGGATCATATAATCAAGTAACATAGTGTACCTTCAATGAAGAAATTTGGCATTCTATGTCCTTAGGCTTCGACATGTCAAATCCCCTTTCAACATATTATTTCATGAGTAGAAGCTATAAATAACTGTAAAATATGCTGGAAAACAGAAACAGATGACACTCACTTCCAGCGAATCATATTCTTAAGTCCCTTTTCAATTAAATGAACACCTTCTAGAACATTTGTTATATCATACATCCTCCTCTTTTGCACCTGCAGAATCGAGAAATACAATACATCAAGGAACTTGCCCCCCAGATTAGTAGGAATGCAAAATAGGAAGGGGGGGCGTTTTGTTTATGCCAAAGCAGACCTCCAATGTCTCAGCTGCTTTGTTTAAATCAAGGGTCCCATCTTCAGCTCCTTGAAGCAGGTTGATGAACTTCTTTGTCAGCAGACCTGTTAACAAGCTAATGATAAATAAACAAGCGAAGATAGCATCTTAAATTTGGTACAGGGGAGAACGGGAGAACAAACTTAGTGAGCTGTCATGGCGGCAGTGGTTTAATGAAGATAAAGAAGGATCAGCATCTCCTGAATAAAAAAATGTGAGCCCATCAGCTACAAGTAAAAGCCAATAAATGGCAACATGGAACTTTTACCAACAAATGATGCAGAACATGTAAGTTAAATAAGAAAATTAGCAACAACAACCTTCAATTGGTCCAGAATTTGAGGTGCCCAAGTTGTGTTTAGAAGCCTTTAGTTTTTTTATCCTCTTGGTAGCTTTTACAGGTCCAGGGGTAGTCTCCTTATCATGCCCTTGCACAGTCTCTACCATGTTGTTTTCAGATTGAGAATATTCTCCACTGTTTTGCTCGTTCGACTACAATATTGGGAATATGTACATGAAGACTGTCAACAAACATACTACAGCAATAGCACGCTAATAAAACAAGAATGTAACAAATCACGCAGCCACCTTAATATATTAGATTATTGCTGAAGATCAACTAATACATTCATGAGTCTAGAAATAGTACACTATTAAATTAACTAAAGAAGATTAAAAAAGAAAGAAAAGTGAGCAAACCAATTTTTCAAAGTATGAGACTCTCATTCCAAGGAGCGGCAATCATATTAGGTTAGGTACATAAAAGACAATGCATACACACTCATGAAACCTTGCATATTATTCGTGGCTAAGTCCTGCACTATAAGTAACAGGACAGTTTCATAATGCCAAATACCATGAGGTCTCAAACCCAAAGCCCTAGACATATGCAGATAACGATCTAAACTTTAACAGACAACCGACAACAATTGTTTATGCATTTACTCCTGCAGAACCTGTTCCAAATGGCATGATCTAAGCTAATGACACGACGATGCCTTGCATAGAACTGAAAAAAAAATGTGTGCAGTCTGCAGATCAGTTCCAACATGGGAAGCACCACAGAGCATAATCTGAAAGTCTTATTCAAACCAATCACATTCATCAAGCACAGGCAACTTGCAACTATCAATTGATAAATCGCATCATGGATGCTATTCCTGAAACAGCCAACTTCACAAATAGCCCTGCTGATGCCACCAATGAACCCGACTGATTCAGTTTTCGCATGCTGAAAATGCTGCTTGTACACATCATTGAGGAAAACTGAAGCTTCAGTGGACACCCAAACCCAGATCATAGTCCCTAGACACATATGCCAACTCATGATGACACAATGCTGCTACCACTGAATGACTCCGAATGATTTGACTTATTGCATCACCATATACAGTAAACCATTGGAACAGACGACTACACAGCCAACGAATTTGATAGGTTAACTTAAGCCATTGCCCTCGATTAGAAACCTCTATTCATTATGGAGCCAAGCTAAAGCAGCAGAGAATTTGCTGGGCACGCTAGGTCCCCAATTTCACTGGTGGCATATCTATCGATTCATAGCATCGAGGAACATCGGATGATCCAAGCCAGTGATCGAGCACTATAATAGTCAACGAGCATCGCAGCATACCAAAAGACCGAAAGACCACGAGGCATGAGCTCGTAATCAACTCGAACAACAGCTAGCTTAGCTACATCGAAACTCGAACAACAACAGCTAGCTGCTTCGAAAGTACGAGGAGGGAGGAAACCCCCAGCGCGCGGGAGCTTGATTGACTCACCTGTGCCTTGGGCTTGGGTCCCCTCTTCGCCGCAGGTTCTGGAGCCGGAGGCGGGGGCATCGTGCCAGCTTGCTGCTGGGGCGGCTGGTCAGTGGAGGCGAGCGGCGCAGGCGGCGGCGGAGGTGGGGCCAGCGCTGTGGCCGACGCGGGAGCGGGAGCTGAAGCAACAGCAGCTACAGCAGCAGGAGGAGGAATCGGGACCCTCACGGCGGCGAGGGGCTTGGAGGAGAAGATGGGGATGGGTGCAGGGGCGCGGAACAGTTGGACCCTAGGAGCAGCCTGGACCGGCGGGCCGTGGCGCGGTGGCACGGAGCAGCGGAGGTAGACCTGCGGCGGCGGTGGTTGGGGGAGGGGGAGGCTGGAGGAGCCGCCGTCCATGGAGGCGGGCGGGAGAGAGAGAGAGAGCGCGCGCGCGCGCGGAGTAGGGTTTTGATTTGCGCGTTGCTTGGTGGGGAAGGGAAAGCGAAGCGGGACGCGGGGGAAGCTTGTGGGCGCGGAACGGGGGGGGAGAAGAACAAGAGAGGGAAAACAAGCAACGGGGGCGAGGCCGCGAGGGAAAAGGTTAATAAACAAACTCGGCAAGTCTTTGTCTCTTTTTTTCAACGGGATATATATCAGGCCCGTTTAAATTAACGGGCTAAAATTTAAGGGTTCCACGTCGAGTATCATATCGAGACGTCACATGAAAGTATTCGGATAATAATAATAAAATAAATTACAGAAGTCCTCAGTGATTCGCGAGATGAATTTATTAAAGCCTAATTAATTCGACGTCAGCACATGTTTATTGTAGCTTACTGTAGTACCGTGTTGTCAAATCGTGGTCTAATTAGGTTTAAAAAATTCATCTCGCAAATTAGTCATAATCTGTATAATTAGTTATTTTTAGTCTATATTGAATACTCTATGTATGTGTCAAGTATCCGATAAAATATGGACTAAACTTTAGGGGAGGATTATTATTTTCTCTCCGCCTCGCTGATTTATTTATTTATTATTATTATATCATATCAGGGTTTCCTACCGGAAGAACATCTGACTTCGGCTTTCTTTTTCATGATTCTTTCCTAAGGACGGGAATAGGTCGGGTCGTCCCATTGGATACTTACCTGACCCATAAAAATAGACCTGGCCCATAAAAATAGGGTTGTCATAGGGGTCGGCCCCAAATTCCAAAATGGGCCAAGATCGGAACCTATTCTACTTGTCATATTAATAAACTTTTTCTTTAATTTATTGGTGTTCTTTATTTTCTTTTAATAAATACGATTGATCATAACTTGTAAGATTGTCTGTGCTTAAAAGTACAGTGAGGAATTATCATATTTTGAAAGTGAAAATTGATAAAATTAAAATCATGGTTCAGTTGCAAACTTATTTAATTTGATGCATTGCTAATAGTTTTAGTATATTATTATGATATTTTTTAATCTTGTATCTTATATTTTCTAAAAGTAATGATAGTACTCATGGTTTATGATTATAGAAAAATATTTAGGCCGACTACCCAATAGGCCATCAAGGCCATAGCATCTAGAGAAAATGGGTTGACCCATAGCCCCTAAATTTGGCCTTGAGGCCATGAGGCCGGGTCCATGGCTAGGGCCGAGTCAGCCCATTCCCATCTTGATTCTTTCCTGTTGATGGTTTTTGAGCATATTGCTAATTTTAGCCTTTTAAGCAGTAATATAGTTTCACTTATGAAATTTGTTAATTTTTTGTGGTGGAAACTAGTTTATTTGCATATGAAATATGTTTGAATGCGTTCTAAGTCGACGGTGTAGAAAACGCTAGTGATAATTTAGCCCTACATAAATATAGTCGTGAGAATGTAGTATTTCTCCAGTACTACTAGTAGCAACAGCCACATGTGCTACACTAACATGTGTGAGAGAAAAAGCCGCAACCGCGGCAGTAGCATCCGCTGTGGTTTTTTTCCATCTCATAGCAATTGTGGCAATTTTTTTTTCCAGCCGAACATCTCCAATACTCCATGATCCAAAAATATTGTTTCCAGGTGTTGGTTCACGTAATATCACACGTAATGTGTGACAGATCTGTCCGAAATAATCGTCTTCTGCTAGACACTAAACACCCCGAAAGTTAGTTACATCGGACAGTTTCGTCGAGCACACCCAACAGAGAACATGAACAATCCACGTTTTTCATATAGAATTCAATAATGAGAACGAGTTTACAATACTTAGTCCATTTCATACAATAAGAGTTCTAAAAAATACATTATTACAATACCAAGTTCAGAGTGCAGAATTTAAACAGCGGAATTGAAATAAACATCTAACGATAAGATACAAGGATCCGGTTGTGCCCACCAAAAGAATCCTCCACACAACAGCCACTCCTCAAGCTGTATTCACAAGGTAAATAAATCATGGATACACAATATACTCGCAAGACTTACCCGACTAATAGGAATAATTTCCCGACTCTAAAGAATATGATAAGCTTTATGGTTTGCTGGGTTTCCTTTTTGCGAAAAGCATTACTTGTAGTGAATCCTTATATATGTGTTTTATTAGAAGTCATAATTAGTTCATTAGCTAACCATTCTATGTAAGCACATGTTCTACTTTCAAGTAAGATTTGAGCAATCAGATCCATTCATCCCCTTTCATCTTTCAGTTCTTACTATGGTGCTAGACCATAGCCAAGTCGTACCGTATCACACGACGATTCGTGAACCAATATATCCCAGCTGGATACCATGAAACACACGCCCCACTTATACCCTAGGCACAAGCAAGACCAACCCACCACTCTCCTGTCAAGAGGTCTAGGTCCCCGTCCAAACTCGGACTCTAAGCTCCCACTCCTGAGTCCCGGACTCAGTGTGGTGCTTAGACCTCCACCATCCCCACCTTCAATGATCGGTCCGAAAAGAGTAGGAACCCATAACAAGAGAGCAACGAGCCTTTCCGCTCCCATAAGCAAGTATGTGCTCAGAATAATAAGTCTGTGACCTAACTACCATTCACAGCAACAGACGGTCCTTAACCTACACGAACAGAGAAAACAATATAACCAAGCTATACCTCATTGGCCACGGGACACAACCTATTACACTCACCAATACCCGTACCATATCCCTGCCCGGTCTCCATTACCTTTCATCATTTTATCATAAGAGTAGTAATAATAATCACCTATTGTGAGTAACGGTAGGTTACTCATGCTACCAATAGCCTAAGCATAGCAGCTACTCGATCTATGCTAGTAGGACTCATAGGTAGGTTTATCTATGCATATAGTTTCAATATAAATCATATAACGTAAATGCACATCACACACACACATACACACACACATATATATAGTGATTATTCAAAAGGGTTATACACCAGGGCTTGCCTTGGGCAGATGGATTGTCAGCTATGTCAGTCGTCGGTGGCTCCGAGGCTTCCTCCTATACGAGGACCTCCTCCTCGCACTCCTCGATCACCTCCTCGTACTCCTGCTCTTCGGTGGTCACGAACTCTAACTCGTTCTCTACGTGCATGCGATAATGATGCAACACTTAGCATTTATGCAATAGCAACTCTTAAAATAAGAATACGCATACTAAGCTACTAAGCTAGCTCTAATGGCTAAGGCACTAAGCTAACTATCATCTTTACCAAGCAATGTATTGGGTTCAACTAACAAACACCTAGCTTTACAAATGAAGGATATATCTTTATTTCTACTAATGATTTAATGCATATTTGAAACAAACAACATTTAACTACCCTTATGTTTAGTCTATTCTAAAGCTACAAAAATTACACTGAGCACATAATAATACCACGATGCTGCTATAAAATTTTTAGGGCTAAAGCTATCACCAATTTACCACAAAAATTCATACAATAATTCTCCTAACAATATTAAACATTTTCAAATGATTTAATAGCTCTTGGTATCAACATGTACATATATGAACTAAGTACACTAACAGATAGAGCACAATTTTAGGAACTTAACAAAATTTGTTTCATAATTTTTGGACACCTACATGATTTTATATGATTTACCAAAGATTAGCTCAAAAATTATATTAGAAAACTATTTCTAATTCCTTATGAAAAAGAAAAAAATGAATTCTCCCGCGCGGCCACACGCGCGGCCCGCGGTGCGGCCCACGCGGCGCCGGCCCATGCGGAGATGGTCCGCGATAGGGAAACCCCGTGCGCTGATGTTTTTGCAAAATAGACCTCGCACTTCTCCTGAATTACAACTAAGTACTAATACTATTTCCCCCTCTCTCATAACTTCTCACTTAACCCCCTGGCCTTTCCCTAATTCACCCGCACGCACCCCGACGACTTAGTGCACGGCGGCGCAGCGAGCGACGGCACTGAGCGCCTACGTCAGTGAAAGCTCTAGTTTGATTTTGGTGAATTGATGAAACCCTAAGTGCTAACCTAGTTTATCTAAGTGATTATGAGATAGGTAGCACTACTCCAAGTGGTGAAGCAAATGAAGATCATGACATGATGATGGTGATGCCATGGTGATGATCAAGTGCTTGGACTTGGAAAAGAAGTAAGAGAAAAACAAAAGCTCATGGCAAAGGTGAAATTGATAGGAGCTTTTCAGTTTAGTGATCGAGACACTTAGAGAGTGTGATCACATTTAGGATTGATAGCCGTACTATTAAGAGGGGTGAAACTCATATTGAAATATGGTTATCAAAGAGCCACTAGATGCTCTAACTCATTATATATGCATTTAGGATCTAGTGGAGTGCTAATACCCTTGAAAACATTTGTGAAAATATGCTAACACACATGCACAAAGGTGATACACATTATGTTTAGCACTTGGGAGCAAGGGTTCGAAACTTCACTGGTGGACAATCTAACAGTGCCACCGGCGCCCTATACAGAAAAGACAGGGTTCACAGAGTGCACCGAAGGCTGGTCACGCACTGACCGAACGCTTGGTCCTATGTCCGGTCAGTGGCGCGTAGTGAAGGCTGCCGTTGGCCCCTTGATCGGACACAGGCGACTGGACTTTGGCTAAACACTATTCAGTGTCCGGTCCTGCTGATGTGTTAGTGCACAAAGAAGACCATGAGTGACAGGACGATGGGGTCCTATGTCCGCTCCTACACTATAGAACGTCCGATCACAACTCAAGTGCACTGATGACCGTTGAGATCGAATGATCAGCATTTGATGCAGGGGCCACGTGGCGTGCATCATGCAACCGGACGCTGGGGTCTACGTCCGATCGATCTAACCAGCGCGTCTGGTCGCCCTGATTTTTCAGTTAGTAGAGAGCCAACGACTCTATTCGTGGGGGCTCTCTATTTAAGCTCCATGGCTGGCTTAAGCTCACTCTCTTAGCCATTTGCATTGACCTAGCAACCTTGTGAG